TTCTTTGTACTGTGATACATCAAACTAGCTAATGTTAGCCCTATCTAGACACTTCAAGTACTTGTGTGGACTACTTGGATCCTAATTGATTCTTTTGTTCACCTTAATCCCCATTGGCATGAGGCTGAACCTCCATTATTGGCTAAGAAAAGGAGAGACTGAGAAATGGGCAGATAGAGCATGAAGAGAGATAGTTAGGGATGAGGAAAGATAACGAGGAGGACAAAGTACCCTGTAGGATTAGCAAAAAGGGTGGATAATAGGGAGCAAGTCTGGCTGCAGATAGAATAGCCTATCAAGTGAGAGTGAAAATGGGGGAAGGATTGGAAATGAGCGAATCATATGCTGTAACTTATCCTCCCAGTTCACCAGAGACCAAAGACACTTTGGTTTCAGCTGCAGGAAGCCCGAAGCCCAGGTAGCCTCGGGGAGATGGAGGGGTATTTTTTCACACATGAGAGGGTCTTAGCTGTACCTAACTGGCCACATTGGCCACCAGTCTTGTACACTGGTCCCAGCTTGGTGCTTTGTCAATGTGCTGTGACTAATCCAGGAGGGGTTACACATTTTCTCTCACCCTAATTAAAAGAGGATTAGGTGAGGTGGAGCTCTAGACCACTGCAACATGCACAGCCACCATCCCTTAGTTTTCCCCAGGATAATTGCACTTTGCCTGGGTTTTCTGTGCATGCCACCACCTGAACTCAACAACCAGCTCCGTCACTAAAATGATTGGTGTTAATACTGAAGGAGCTTACAAATAAGGATTGATCCAAAAGAAAAAAAATACACTAGCACTTCGTCAACTGGTGTCTACATATGGTCTATACGCTCTAAATCTGCTCCAATTTTGTATTTCATTACTGACTGTAAAATTTAATCCTGATGGCTTTATCTTCATTTGTGCATGTTCTGTAGGGATCTGTAAAGGGATTTAAAATACCGTGGCCTATTAATTTTTCCTCAAAATACCGTTTTCTTTGATAATTATTAATTCTGATTTAGAGCAAAAGAAAAGAAAAAAAATCCCAGTTTTGATGCATTCACATCCTTCAACATTTCATTATTGAACTCGTAGGTGTAGCAGTGTTAAAATGAATATAAAGATAATAAAATAAAGTAAGCAAACTTCAGTGCCAAATTCAGGATTAACTGCATAAAGATAATGATTCTTTCAGCCACAGATTATATCAGAAGTGTTCTGTGGATAAAACCTTTTCCAATTATTTGGTGGCTTGTGCAGTCTAGTCTTTTTTTTTATTTGTTTGTGTTTTGGTTTTTTTAGGATTTATTTTTGCCTTTTAATATTATTATAACATAAAAATAGAGCTTACAGGAAAGGACTCAAACCTGGGCCCCTGCAATAGCCTTTTGGTACATAGGTAGTCTTCCAGCCTACAGAGACTGACCAACTCTCATGTTTAGTATTCAACTGGTTTTTATGGTTGCTTTTTTTTTTAACCTGTAAATCAATCTCATGTCATTTTGAAGCATGTCTTACTTTCTAAAATGCCTCTGGAGGCAACAGTAACAAGTAGAGAGGAGGCTTACTGGAGAAGCTGTAATCAGGTATTTACAGATGTGCCCTTGGCAGAAATGTTCTCCATTGATGAAAGAACAATGCCAAAACACTGGAACACTTGAACCACATCAGGTGGAGGACTCTAAATAGCTAAATAGCTAAACAGGTGTGCCTTTATCAGGTACACCTGTTTAGCTGCTTGATAACTGCTGCTTGGGCTTACAGAGAATGATCCAAACAATAGAAGATTGAAAAAACACTGCCTGGTTTGATGACTGTCGATTTCTACTGCAACAGTTGGGTGTTGGATCAGAACTTGGTGTAAACAGCATACAAGTATGGATCCATCCTGTCTTGTATCAACAATTCAGGCTGCTGGTGGTTTAAATGGTATGGCAGACTTTGGGCCACTTTTTATCAATTGAGCATTATTTAGACACCACAGCCTGCCTAAGTATTGGTGTTGACCACGTCAGTTCCTTTCAAACCACAGTGTACACATTTTCTGATGGTTGTTCCCAGAAGGATAACACAAAGCTACTGTTAGGTATTTTAGTACCATGGGAGCATTTACTGGATATTGTTTTATAGTGACATTATACAGGAAAACTCTGTCATTCAATAAGGCCCCTTTGTTTTAGTTATTTTTCTCTTTGACCCAAGAATTGATGTGTGAGAATCACAGGCTGGTACAAGGTTGAAATACCACAGAGATCACTCCCTCAGCTACATTAGTTTCTAAATCTCTTAGGAGACGCCTGTTGAAGGCCAAATGGTTTGTTTCAGAATTCACTAATGAAAGAACTCTTTATTTCGTGCCTTGAAAATATGTCGCTGAGATAATCACAATTGTAGCTGAACTGATAAACTATACAAAGGATGCTTCTTCACCCAAGGGCAGGAAGACGCTCCCTTATCTTGGTCTGTACTGGTTTAAACTGATAATCTGCTGTCTCATGAATTTTACCCTTTATATAAACTGTTGTACTTGTGAATAAAATTGAGTCACTTTGGGAAGACAATCTGAAGCAGTCTCTGTTTTCTTGTTCTCCCAAGCTACTCCCGAGCTCGTACTAACACGCTGAATGGCATGCTTGAATATTACTTGAGAATATATTTGACTGTGTTACAGACTAAGGGACATTCTCTGCTGATAGGTGAAGGTACATTCTCTGCTGATAGACGTCCATGCCTCGAAGGAAGTCGATCCACGGATTAGGCCCTGGAAACCGTTTCCTTCAGCTACTGCAGTCAAATAGCAGATCTTAACCCAATAGAGCATCTTTGGGATTTTATGGAACAGGAGATTCACATGCACAGCCAACAAATCTGCCGCAACTGTGTGACGCTATCATGTCAACGTGGAATGAAATCTCTGACTGCTGTCGCATAAATTCACTGAAAATATTTCATTGCCTGGGTTATTAATGGAAGCTACTTTCAGTTGTTAGCATTACCCTCGACAGTAGCCTGTAAATAGCAGGTTAATTTAAATAGGCTCCAGCTGCCACACTGAGTAGACCAGGGGTGTCAAACTGAAATACACAGTGGGCCAAAATTTAAAACTGGAACAAAGTCGCGAGCTAACGTTAATATTTATTGAAAAAAAAAATCTTCCTCCAGATTTAAGAATGAATCTTTTCTTATGGACTCAAACAAGTTTTGCTGGAAAACTGAATATGGAACAAGCAAAGCTTAATACTAAACAATATATATATTAGCTGTATAATACCAGTAGGCCAGCTCTAACAGTAATTTGGTATGGCTTCGCGGGCCAAATGTAATTAGGCTGCGGGCCAAATTTGGCCCACGGGCCAGAGTTTGACACCTATGGAGTAGACTGTTAGTTCCACTACATTTTTTGTATGTGAGGAAGCCATAAGAAAGTCAACCTTGCTGATCTTTCTTTAACCTCATGAGGCGGTGCAGACTACATAATGTTTTTAAGCTCATTTGCAGTTGAATTGTCTGACAAGGTCTATTGGTGTATCAGACCATGTTAAATAAAAAATGTGAGCTCCAAGCACTGAGCTCAATGTCTCACTTAAAGGTTCTGCCATTTTTTTTAAATATTCAACTCATCTCATCTCAGCTTCAGATGCCAACACCTACATGCACATTTTTAAGTCAAGCACATATTTGTGACATCATTAATGCTATATATTAGGCTTCAAAATGTAAGCAAACAGTATAATATTGGAAATACAGTATAAATATTGGGTCAAATATGCTTTGGACTCAAAAGTTAAGTATTAGCTTTTGGTGGTCACAGGATACTTTGATCTGTGTGAAAGTCTAGAATATGAGAAATTTTTTTGTTTCAAACCAGAGGCGATGCTTATACATCTAGTATAAATATCTCCCCATCAAACTGAACACATTCAGTTTGACTTGACATGTTTTGTTTCTTTTAATGAGACTTCAGTAGGGATAAGAATGACAAAGTCAGGACAGATCAATCAAATTAGTTTTACAAGTCTTGAGCCACTCCTCACATCTTTATATTTTGCTTCCAAGGACCTATAATTTGTTGTAATTTTTTTCTTATTTATTCCTATTAATTTTTAAGCAATGCTTTTTCAGACTCTCTAAAATGTTTCTTTTGAAATTAAACCAGTAGAAAACAAAAGAAAAAGTGTCGGGCATAAAATACTTTCTACAGCAGATAAACACAATCTAAAGGTCTTACAGAAGGACATTAGGGAAAAGATTGTATCGGTATGCCAAAGTGCACAAGAACTCGACCAAATATTAGCAGGTCTTATTGAGTGATGAATCCAAACTTGACATTTTTGGTTCAGATCATTGTTGACATGTACATAAGAGGTCAGGAAAGAGGTGCAATAGTGAGCGTCTACATCAATCTGTAAAACGCAAAGAGGTCCTGTGATGTAATTCATTTAAAGCCTATGGTGTTTGGGGACCTTGATAAAATTGATAGTATTGAATGCAGAAAAGTACTCTTAGATTTTGATCCACTATGCAATGCCTTCATTTTTTTCAGTGCGACAGTCCCAAACACATTGTCAGTGCAGTGAAAACATACCTGGATAGAAGAAACTCACAATGGAAGTCGATGATGGATTGGCCTCCCCAGAGCGCGGAACTCAACATTACTGGCATCATCTTGACAGAAAAATTTAAAAAAGGAAGTCAACATCCAAAGGAGAGCTCTGAATGTCCAAGAAACTAGGAGAACTATTCCTGAAGACCACTTAGAGAAAATACTGGAAAGCTTTCCTGAGAAAGTTCAGACTGTGAAGAATGACTGTGGTCACACCAAATATTGACTTTCGAGGTAATTAGAACAAACTGTGTTCACCTTACTCTGTTTGTTTTGCCGAATATATTTAAACATTTCTTAGCAAAACATTAAGAAATGAGAAGTGACTCCAGACGTTTGTATAGCATGAACAATAGTGAACTGAATATGAAACTTCCTCGTTCTCTTCTCCGGGTGGTTTTTCCTATGTTTTCTACAGTTATGGGGTCTTCCAGGACGTGGGATGGAGCTGGTCTCAGCCACGCCCCCTTGCGTCAGATTACTGCAAGTAAAAACTTGGGTAAACGTCACCTCGCACTAACTGGCTGTCGCCCATAGTGAATCAATATATCGCTATCATTTCCTGCTGTCACTGTTATTTATTTATTATTTGGCCGGGACTATGGCTGACGACAACGAAGATGCTGAAATGAAACGAGCCCGAAGTCGCGAACGGCAGTTAGGTAACGGCTGCTTAATTTTCTACGCCTTTTACTGATAGCTGGACAGAGATGGCTTCATAAAGTCAGTGAACTTTGGCCCAGCCGAGTTATTTGGCTTTTTCTTTAAGTCGGCACGTAGCTGAAAGTTTTACTTTTAGATTAGCGTGAAATTTCTAATTAAATGTTGGTAGAAGTACATATTTTTTTTAGCGATCATTACTTAAAAAACGAGCTAGCTAGCTCTGACCGTTAATAAGCCGTTAATAAGTTCCACTCACACCTTAACCGTCCAGTAATGTTTTACAAGACAGTAGCGTTCAAGAAACAGTATTAAACCACGTAACATACATGTTAATTACTGTAAAAAAAAAACTATTGTAAGTTAAGTATAAGCCGTTCATGGCATTCTGACTTCTAATTTTGTCTGTTGAATGGATTGACAGAAGTAGAGAGCTGATTTCTTAATTTGTTTGCGTTACATGTTTCAGGTTATCAACAAATTTTCAGATTAGATAAAGAAAACCACAGCAAACGCAAAATGCACTTTCCATTTATGTATTAAGGGGGAAAAGCCATCCAAACCCTACCTGTCCTATGTGAAAAAGGAATTGCCACCTAAACCTAGTAACTGATTGTGCCACTCTTACAATCAAGAACTGCAGTCAGGTGTTTGGATGACTGGCCACATGTGTTTCACACAAAAAAAGCCTTTTTGTTCAGCATTGTGTTTTTTCCTTGGCACTCTTGCTGATATCCTCCTTATTGTTGATTCATGAATACTGTTCGTTAGATGTTGTTTTATATTCTGTTGTGACCTCGTAGATGAATCGTTGATGTGCTCTTCCAGTAAATTTGGTAGGCAGCCTCTTCCTGGGAAGATTTATTAACATTACAAGTTCTCTCCATTCATTGATAACGTCTTTCAAAATGGTTTGCTGGAGTACCAAAGCTTTAGAAATGGAGCACTTTCCAGAGTGATAGATTGTCAATCACTTTGTTTCTTTAGATTGTGGCATGTTGCATTGTTTTTTTGTTTTTTTTAGATCTTTTAGCTTACCTGCTTTGTCAGACAGGTTCTATTTAAGGGATTTCTTGATTCAACTATTTGAAAGGCTGAAAGGGGGCAATTACTTTTTCACATAGGGCCAAATAGATTAGGATTTTTCCCTTCCATTTTACCTTTGAAAAATAAAATAAATAAAAATAAAATCTAAAATATAATTTCTTAGCATCTAGAAGAATATACATGCAGATATGTCCAAATATACAAGATTCACTATGCATTAATATATTCTCATAGTTGGTACAAACCAGTTGAAATCATGCTGTCTGTCTTCTTTCCCCAGCTTTGGAGAACCCAAACACTGACATTGGCTTTTGTGGCAGGATTCTGGTTGGGCTCTCCCTCATTTTCCTGCTGATTACTCTGCCCATCTCCATATGGATGTGTATTGTGGTCAGCTACTTAAATTACAGTGCTATTTGTTTTATTTTAGAAACACCTTTTAAAAGCTGGTGACGCATGGTTGTTTACCATTCACCCAGATAAAATGCATCTTTACTTTACAGGAAAACTCATTTCTTTTTAAAAGTAGCATGCATAAGAATACCTCCATATCTAGCTGCAAGAAAAAGAAATTACTCATACTTACTTACATATTATATATGACCTTGGGGTTGTTTTTCTCTGTATACAGATTGTGAAGGAGTACCAGCGAGCTATTATTTTTCGCCTGGGGCGCCTTTTGTCAGGAGGAGCCAAAGGACCAGGTAAGAAGTCATGTTTTATTTCTTTTTCTCTTTTTATTACACCATTGTGTTTTTTTTAAAAATAGTCATCTAAATATACAGTTCCTTTATTGAAATGTTAGTAGTCTTTAACTCATAGATAATATATTTTTCATGCTCAGCTGTGGTTGCATGGATCATCATTCAAATGTCCTGACATTTCTTTGCAAATGTCAGTTGTTGGACATTTGTTTAAGTGTTTCAGTGGCTCACTTTTAGCTACCGTAATACAGAGCTGCTTCAAATGGGCGGGAGGAGAACAAGCACTAGTCAGTGTCCTGTTACCAGCGATTTAGATTGTCCGTTATTTTAGATGCAGTCAATAAATTTAATATTGATTACTGCTTTTATTGGCAGACTTAATGACATCGGTTGCTATGGCAACCCAGAAACTCAAGGAGGAAATGCACTGTGATAAAGTATACAGGGCTAGGAAAGTGGCATATTTAGTTTAGATTTTTTGCCCCCGCATTCCACTAGATAGTTTTCAATTAAACCTTTATCAGCTGAGCTTTAAATTGGAGGGTTTTTTTCTTGCATTAAATTCAGACAAACAGTGTAGGAACCTTCCAATCGTCACACAGCTGACCACAGTCACTGGACTGATTGACCTAAACATAAATTTTTCATATATGATGTGTATTGTTGAGTTACATTTTTTTCCACCCTTTGTTTTGTAGAGCACACCAGTTGTTTGGTTGCAGTTACTTTACTACAAAAACCTCTAATTCTATCAGTCTGCAAGGGAGCGCAAAAAGTTACATAATGTATATCCAAGTGTCATTACAGTGTGGTTGTTAAAATGCCGGCGTGAAGAAAGTACTGATTAGATGTATGATCCGTTTTGTTCATATAGCAAAGTATTGGGCAAATTTTGCACCCTGATGATGGCACCAGATGACAAAAAGAGTCATGAAATCACAGAAGCAATTGCTGTTGATTCTCGGGGCATATTAATGCGTGTACCAAATTTCATGGAAATCCACTTAATGTTTTTTTAAACAACTCGACTCAAAGTCGCAAAAGCCAACTTCATTTTGGGGGATCACAGAAACATTACCATGCATCATCTGGTAACCAAATGTAGTGCCAATTCCTCCAGTAAATCCTGAGGATTTCTCATTTGGGGGGGGGGGGGGCACGTAATGTGTGTTACTTACTATTTTGTGACAGTCCATAGTGTAGTTTTTGAGACACTGATTGACAGTCCAATATTTGTGTTGTTAAAACCATGAAAAAAAAACCATAGGAAGAATCAAAGAGAAGCATGGGGGCAGTGGGTCCTGTTGTGTTGTGTTTACAAGAGCGTTTTCTTCCTGCTGTTGGGCAGAATGACACAAGGCATGTCATAGCTAAAAATTAAAATGTGATTTTTTTGGTAGGCTTTATAGCAACAAGACCACAGACAAAGTGGGCATGGGTGCAGGTTCACTCAGGCCCCACACAGGGGCCCGAGGGAACCTGCACCCACAGAGCTGTTCAAGCGCTACAGCATATTTTTCTGAATGCCTTATCCATGCGATCAGTTATGTAACTTGTGTTTTGAATGGCAGCAGATTTGTTAGAAGCATAGAAGTAAAAAATACAGACTCCCACGAGGTACAATTTGCATACACCTCACAACTCACTGTCTCTTTATCTTTGATTTCTTGTTGTACTAGATCTAAAAACCAAGCAGTGTCCTCTCAAAATGCTGAAACGTGGCTCCTCAGAGAGCCCCGGGCTTGAGTTTATGACAACATGGGGTTAATAATAGCACCTGCAACCTGCAACTCTTGGCTTCTCTATCTACGGGCTCACAAAGAAAGTTTACTGTAAAATCTTTCATTCTGCCTGAAACTGAGATTTTTATCGATAAACATGCTTATGTGCATCACAAGATGTTTTTCAGACTGTATTAGACCAACTGGGACCTTTTTACTTGTCTGACTGAGAGTGCTTCAGATTTCATGGTGGAAGTGGCACGGGGAGACTGTTGTTATCATCATTGCCCCTCCTGAACAGATGTCTGTGATCTCACCATTTAAATTTACAATATCTTGACAGGAATGGCATCCAACCACTCTCTATCCGGTGTGGTGTTAATGTTTGCTAAATGATTGCACACCTAGCACATGTCTATTTCACTAGTATTGTTTGATGCACTAATTCAATCATAGTGACTTGAAACAGGCTAATGAAAGCTGCAAATATCCACGGCTTTGCCTTGCTGTCAGTACAGCTGCAGTCTCATAAAGCGAGAGCTTGACTTGGCCTCCTGCCAGGATCTCATTCATCCTGGTCTTTTCAAACATTTGTGAGGAAGCTTCCTCATTATTGTGTTTACTGTAGCGTTAGTCTTTGTTGAAACTATTTGCATTCTTGTGATTTCACAGGCTTGTTCTTCGTCTTGCCGTGCACTGACAGTTTTATTAATGTGGACATGCGCACCGTCACCTTTAACATCCCACCACAAGAGGTACGACATGCACCCTTCCAGTTACATTAAGCAGATCACTTTCACTGGAATTCAGCTCATGTAATAATAACTGTGCGTAGTTATTTTATTTGTAGTTTTTTAGCTTATTACACAGTATTGTGTAAACACTGTTCTTCTCTCAGGTTTTGACCAGAGACTCTGTGGCAGTGTGTGTTGATGGCCTGGTCTACTATCGGGTCCAGAATCCTACTCTGGCCGTGGCTAATGTCAGTAATGCAGATGCTGCTACGCAGCTTTTGGCCCAAACCACCCTGAGGAATGTTCTGAGTAACAAGAACCTGGCAGAGATTCTGTCGGACTGTGAACACATTGCACATTTTATGCAGGTAAACTCCTTCAGCTTTTCTCTTAGCTGTAACTGTGACCCCAAAACATGCAAGAAATAATTATATACTTCCAAAATTTACTTCTTTTTTTTTTTTTTTTTTTTTACATCGTTTACATTGTCCAATAAGCCTTTGAGCTGTCACTCTAAGGGTGTGTCCAAGGGTATGACCTTACACATTTGTTATATGTGGTATATCCAAAAGGTATTCCCTCATCTCTGTGAAGTCCTTCTGTCTCTATTGGCTCATTGTTAAGGCATTTTGAGATGCCATCTTGCTCTGAGCCTTGTTTACCAGGTGCATAATGCAGCTGTCACCCGAACTGTGTGTTACTGTTAAACTAACAAACTGCTGTAAACTGAGTGAAGCTTAGCTAATCCCATGTTTCTATGACGAGTCCAGCTTTTAGTTTGCTTTAGAATTTAATTATTTATTTTTTCCATTAAACTTTTACTTCCAGTTTATGCTGAGCTGCTGTAAATGATTAAATATTTATTTCTAATTCAGAGTCACAGAGACAGTGATCAGGAGGTACTTCAGGAAGTGGACAAATGTCTGTGACCACACCTCTTACTCGCTGAATTCAGCAATGCCGTTGGATTGTTTAGCTGGGTTTGGCCTGCGCCTCTTACGTCCACTTAAGGGAAATCTCACTGCTTCAGCTTAACAAGACATTTTGGACAATTCTATGCTTCCAACTTTGCCTGGGGAAAGACCTTTTTTGTTACATACTGTGCCCTAGTATACAAAGCAAAGTCCACAAAGGCATGGTTGGATGAATTTTGTGTTGAAGAAGCTGACTGAAAGTCCACTGAATACCACTGGGATGAACTAGAATGGAGTTTGTGAGCCAGGCCCCTTTGTCTAACACTGGTGTCTGACCTTACAAATGCTCTTCTGGATGAATGGGCAAAAATTCCCACTGGTAAATCTTTGTAGCAGTAACAGCTTCCACTCTCAGAAGAGTTGTATAATCATAGTATGATCAACAATGACCAATAGACACTTTTTCATGAATTCTTTTGCTCATAAAATGTAAAAATAGACATGCAGTGTGTGACAGTGTGTAGATGTAAAATGTGTGTCTGTTTCTCTGCTTTGTGAGAGAAACGTGTCACCACTGTCAGCTCCATCTGCTGGACAGTTCTGAAAAATGTAAAACTTTGAAAGATGAGGGACATCCTTCTCATTCATTTAAAAACTTTGCGATAAAATCTATTGTTGTTGAGGGTTTTTTAAACATACGTTCTATTTTTACAGATGTGGTACTACAAACGGTATATTGCATGGCTGTCTCCTCAGGTCACTCTGGACAATGCCACAGATGACTGGGGAATCAAAGTGGAGCGGGTGGAGATCAAAGATGTGAAACTGCCCCCTCAGCTACTGAGAGCCATGGCATCTGAGGCTGAGGCCACCCGTGAGGCCCGAGCCAAGGTAAGGCGGTTCTACATCTCCATATCACTGTCTAAACACAAGTCTTTTAAGGGAAATGTCTTCGAGGACCATCTGAGAGACGAAATGCTGCAAATTAGCAGCAACTGAATTTCAAAATAAGAGAAGTGGATTGTCTGGCCATTCATTTCCTAATGTGTGGGAAACACTGACCTATTTTGAAAGTATTCAAATAGCACTCAGCTTTTTGCCTTCCAGTTTCCTGTGTCCATCTTTTGCATTTATCGATTGTTGTTATTTTTCTACACTTCAATTTCATAAAAAGGAGAAAAAGTAACATTGGGAGATTTATGTAGTTTGTAAGGTTACATACTGGTCTAATCCTTTTAAACAATAGGTTATTGGAGATTTTAAAAATTGGTTTAAAGGAGATTTACAAATAAAACAAGAAATCTATCGCAACCCAGAAAAAAGGAATTCTGCAAGATTTTGTAATAAGAATAGTCGTAACTGTGGGTGTAGAGGCTTCTTCCACTGGGCTGTGAGATCAAGGCGCTCTTTTCATTTTCTTCCCTCCTGTTTCTCCTCTTAAGGTGATCGCAGCAGAGGGGGAGATGAGCGCATCGCGGGCGTTGAAGGAGGCGTCCCTGGTGATTGCAGAGTCTCCGTCAGCCCTGCAGCTGCGCTACCTTCAGACCCTGAACACCATCGCTGAAGAGAAGAACTCCACCATCATTTTGGCACTTCCACTGGAGATTTTGCCGAAATTCATCAATACATGAGAAAGTGTCTAAAAAAAAGAAAAGAAATGCACATACTCCCAGCATGCATCACTGAGCACATATACATGTGTAATCAACTTCATTGCCTCACCGTCATTACATCTGACAGCAGCCAGCTTATTTTCACATAGGTTTAATTTATAACTTCTTTTTATTTTTTTCCAACTTTATAATCAAAGAAAAAAAGTGACACAATCTAGGGTATCATCTCCTAGCCCACAGGCCTTCTTTGAGAATTTACCCTTTATTACAAACCTGTGAAATTTAGCATATTCTCTGTTTATCAGAGCTGGAGTTGAATATTTGCTTTGCCTCAGGTGCTCTGGCAGCTGCGGGTAGCTTCAGCCAGCAGTGGCAATGCCCCGCAGTCATCTTGGTGTGTTTGCCAATAAATGACCACTGATTCAATATATTATATAACATATATATAATAATATGTAGTATGAGTTTTTAGTCTTAGCATAACCTTTAACTTGAAGTTGTATTTATTTAATTGAGTTTTCTTTAGTTTTTGTTTTAAGTTGTTTATTTATTTATTTATTTGCAAGTTTGTTCATTTAAAGCTTCAGAAAGTGTCCAAGTATCAGGAAGCTGAAAAAATGAGTTATAATTGATCATATTCTTTCTTTCAGCGTGTAAATATTTAAACATGTTTGAATTTATATATTGTGAAAATGACACGTTCTGTTTTAATCTGTTGTTCTGCTTTCCTACTTTTAACATAAGTGTTTGGACTGTTTGACCAAGAAGTGATTTTTGCCTACAGCCACATGTTGTTGTTGCCACACAGAAGATTTCTTTGTTAGGAAAGGGAAAGGTTGTTCGATTTTACTTTAGTAAGTCGTATAGGTTTCTGTTGTGGTAACAATAGTGACATTTAGGGAATTTTGATACATATGGAAACACAACCAGTGGACAACACTGTGCTGCTGTGTTCTCTAAAGACTGTTTGATTGATTGTTGTCCAGTTTACCAGTTTTCATTGTAATTTAAATGAATTTGTTTCTGTAAAAAAAAACCTCAGACACATGAATGACTTTTTGAAGTTTCGTTCAGGATTAATGCCTGTGTTTGCTTTGTTGTTGTTTGTAGCACACATTCTTTTGTGCAGTATGATTTGATATGATTTTATTTTGAGTTAAGTGTATATGACTAAATAAATCTGAAAGCATGTTTGTGTTGATTTTTTTTCTTTCAGGTCAGTGTGAGAAGTTAAGTGTTTGTAAAAGCAGAGGCAGAAAACAGCTGGTATATTTTAATTTGGTTTATTGAATTGATTACAGGAAACCTTAGAAATTGCCACAGAAAGTGGAGCTAATAAAGAAGCAAAGCAGTGGTTTTCCACTAAAAGACCCCGCAGCAGAACACAAGCTTCCTGGGTTAGAATCTGTGGCATTATTTTAAAATAAATATAACATCTAAAGGTACAAAAACATCAATAAAGACAGTACCCTTTAAAAAACAAGCTTACTGTAAGCTCAAGGAAATCATTCTAAGGCATTGGTTGTATTGCTTTTTATAAGCTGTTTTCTTGGCAGTAGCTTTTGTAATATTGCAGGAAAACCAAACTTTAAACTGTCTTCTTTTATGTTTGTTATATTTTGCTAGTAAACAGGTTTTTATTGTCAAACATGGGAAAATCGCCTTGAATGAGAGTCGTAGTTTGAGGCTATATGTAGTGCAAATCCTAAAGGAAAGCCTGTGTATCTGTTGAAGTTCTATTTGTACTGGATGATTTCACTGGTTTCAAGGCACAACAGTAGCATTTGAGACAAAGTGAAAAAAAAAAACAGTGATTCGTTAAAAAAAGAAAAGGGCACGTGTAGCTTAAAAAAAAAGATCTTGCTACATGGTGACAGGTCGGGACAGAGAGGTGGGAACAAGGGAATGTTCAGATGTTCAGTTCAGCCATAGCGCGCTCCAGAGGGTCGGTGGTCCAGTAGTCGTAGTCCCAGCCCAGGAACCAGCCAGTGAACGTGGGCGGCTCGAAGCCCTGCTTGATTTTGACAATGGGCGTCCTCGGGTCTCTCTTGGCCGGATCTGTCTCGATGTAACGGACCGCTGAGGAAGACGAGTTTGAATTAGTACAAGGATTAAAAGGGTAGCAGAAGATGCTTTATGCTTTGACTCTTGGTGACACTGCTGCTCTAGTGATGGGGCACTTTGCTGTTAATGCATGTATCAGTAATTATGATGTCTTTTAAATAAATACATTCTGTTTTTTGATTAAGTTTTAATTTTTTTTATCTAATGATTGATGTTGTGTTAGATAATTTGCAATGCCAGCTGTATTTCTCGTCTCCTATTCCACATGGCATTGTTCTTTCTCCTCATATTTGCTCACCAGATGCCATAGCTTCAGTCTTCTCCTCCTCTTGGGCCTCATTTCCAATCCAGACAAACACCTAAGAATAAAAAAAACCCAAATAAATAAAGGTTTATTGTGGAGTTTATTCTTTTTGTGGGCACTGATTCTGCTCTGAATGCATATAGTACAGCAAAGGCAGTCAGCTTGTTTTTTACCTGCTCCCAGGTGTCCAAGATCATGACATCATCAGTGGCAAGGTCATCTTGGGTCATCTCACCTGGTACCTCCTCAATCTAAGAAGAAGAAGACGGATTTAAGGGGGCTTTATTTTTATGTACACGTAACGACAAATAAAGACACAGTGCACTGTTTTCAGTAGGTACTTTGAAATATTCTTGACATCCTGCACATGCTCGTGCAATACCAAAGACTTGAAAACTCGAGTCAGAATAGGACAAAACCAATCCAGCAGGAGAAGAAAACGTACTATAAAGTTTCCAGTCTTATTGGAACAAGCAAAGAGACGGGGTGGATGAGCATCCATCTTGTCCTTGAGTCTAGTGGAGGTGCGATACTCCGTCTTTCCACCCAGAGCCTCCCAGAACCGATCTGTAAAACGACAGAAACACTTCAAGCTATTACAACCATCAGAATTTGTAAGAGGGCAAAGCAATAGTTTGACATTTGGGTAACTCTGTTCCTTTTTTGTTGGTACAAAGCCAAATCAGGTTTTTAGTTTAGCATAAAACCTGGAAGTAAGCCTGGTTCTGTCTAATGGGGAAGAAAACAAAATGCTTGGTTTACATTATCAGGTTATCACTATTTTTAACTGAGGTAACTGCTAGAAGTATCTGTTAGTGGACAGATGTTCCAGTGATTTCACTGTCATCACACTGAAGCCGGACAAATTCCTCTATTTGCACTGGGAGGCAGTGGGATAAGAGATGTGCATGTGGGAAAATGTGTTCTGAAAATTTCAGGTCAGCCAGTCTGACACTTAAATCCCATTTCTCCCCAATCCTGGCTCTCGCTTCAAATTCCAACACATCATCTTGACCATGCTTTCATGCCTATATGCACTGAGTTGCTGCCGTGTGATTGGTTGATTAAATATCTGCATTAACAACCAGTTGAATAGGTGTACCTAATAAAGTGTCTGGTAAGTTGGGCAACCTTATTTTGCTATTTATTCATTTTATTTTGCCCATGTGGAAACTGGTGGTTTTCGTCAAGTGAGCAGTGGTTTACAGGTGAGATAAGAGCACTGAAAACGTCAGTGCTGTTACATCACCTGCCATAGACCAAAAAAAAAAAAAAAAACCTGTAAACATATATAAAGAATGAAACAAACCAGGAGCTAAAAGCTTAATGGACCTGCTGAGGTGTGTGACCAGGAGATATATTGTGCAATATTGTGTAGTTTTTGTTACAATTATTCTTGCCCTTCCAGCTATACAGCTATTTAATCAATTTTTAATATACAAAATTATTGTTAGAGCACCTTTAAGGGTAAAATAAAGCAAAATAAAACAAAGTGTAAATGTAAATTTGCAACCAGCATCTGTGAAACAGCAGGTACCTGCACAGTACAGCATCAATTTTGAATAGAAAATCTTTTCAACCATCAGAAATAAAATGGTGAATTTCTCGTTTGTCTTTTGCGAGGCCCCAGCCGAGGCCAGTCCTCAAAAGCAGGGTGTTTATGAAAAATTGAATCTGTTATGTTGTAGCCTGAGGTGTTTTTATATGTGAAACTGTTAGCAGGGAGTTTCTTCTTCTTGAGCTTGGAAAGCAAATAGCAAGACTTCTGACAACATCAGAAGGGGTGATGCAATCAAGTCTGCTTTGTTTCAATATGGATGAACATAAGCGCTTAGCCGAAATACAAAAAGGGAGCTATTTAGCCTCGCATTAAAGCGCTATTTTAACAGCCAGACCACACTTTGTAGCTGACACAGATACAGTTCTGAGTATGTTAACAGCTGTTGGGTTTCAGCTTGACTTAAATGCAGCAAAAAAATTAAATAAAGGAGAGAAAATGATAGTGGAGGTAACTGTGTTTATCCTGTTTCCTCACCGCTCTCTCCTCCCTCGGACAGCTCGGAGACAGACACGCCCAGGATGTCACACAGCTGCTGAGCTCCCTGCTTCTCTGTGTCGCTGGCACCCACACCCACCCACAGGAAGGAGTTGCCGGGGGTCACCAGAATAAAAGCATCATTGGAGTTTAGGTTTGATGCCTGCACGTCAAGCTGCATAGAAACAGAGATATTGCAAGTTATCATGAGGAGCTGTTGTACGTTGACCTTCTACGTTGACCTTGTACGTTGACCACCAAGTGTTGGTGGTTTTTCATTTTTACCAATATTCATGCTAGCATAATGCTTTGTTTGACATTTTATGCCCTCTAACACCAATTCGAGAGGATATTTTAAAGGAAAGGACATCGGTGTTTTCCATTCTTACTATGCATTTTTCCCTTTTCCTCTTAAATACCCTTCAACCATTTACTGAATACTTAAAAAAAACTTCAAGTATGAAGTGCTTCTGCTTTCCTTTAAAACCTCTAATTGTTACTTCATTGTTAATGGACAGTGCTTATTAGATTAGAAAACAAATATTTCAGAAATCTGTTAGAAACTGTTTTGCAAAAGAGAGAAGAAAAAAATAAAATAATCGAGGAATGATTAAATTCAGGTAATGAATGAGACGTTTCCTCTCACCTCCACAGCTCGTGTGTGTCCTGCAGAGTTGGAGCGCACCTGGAAGAGTCGAGTCTCAGCTGGAGCGGACTGACCTCCTTCTCTGGACGTTCCTCCCTTGTACACAATCATGGGCTTTCCTCCAAACAGACTCATCAAATGGGCCGGCTCTTTCCCCTGCACCACCCTCACCTGATACACAAATACCGAATTTAAATCTCTGCATCTAATGAAGTTGTTGTCACAGCAATTCATATCGAAAAATACCTCATGCATTTTGATGTTACAAGCGGTGCTACCAAATCACTGCAGACACATCCTCCCTAATTGTGTCCTGTGAAATATGCATCAACAAGGTGTGGAAAAAAAGTCTGCAGCAGTTCCCACCACTGACGCAAGATGGCAGCACAGAGCCAAATCATGCCATACCCTGAGGTGAGAGTGAGATCTGTGATATTAGTAACCACGGTGAAGATAAGGTATGTCGAAAACAGTCTGCGGTTTTTTGTAATAAACAGTCATAACTCTGAGGTGTTGCAGTCAGTGGTTCCTCTAATTCAGTAAGCACTGCACATTACACTAATCCTGAGCTTGCTGGGGCAAACAGAGAAGAGATAAATATTTACTGATGAGTTTACAGGGAGAAACTATTTGTATTACATGAAGTTTAACATAGAAAGCCAACATGCTTTTTTATGTTCTGCTGTTCCTTCAAATATTTGACATTTGATGCTTTTGGCTTGCTGCAGTTGCTGAGAGATTAAAGTTGAGTTCATAGACTGTATATACAAGTGTGAAAATTCCTTAATGCTTATAAATGCATTCTATTTAATGGTCAGAAGGGGGCAACTTCTCTTAGTGAAAAAAGCCTCTAAAATCTATGAGAAACCAGCACTGCTCCTCAATTTGGATCCACTGGGACTTTGCTATGACCTGAGTAGAAACTTTCCTGACAAGGTTTTGGACAGCGTAGCAAGTCTTACTTAACATAACATAATGCTCATTATCTAAATTAATGTAGCATATGCATCTCGTGATTGACAAGTCCCTGCAATGAGAGCGATTTCTCAAATGAGACAGAGGTGAAAGAAAAGCTCAAACTCTGGCTTCAGGCCAGAACTTGACCAACAGGTGACATCACGCTTGCTATGCTCATCC